AGCTGTTGTTGTCGACTCTTGATTTTTGTCAATAGTATGTTTTGCTTTTTATGAATGAAAAAATAAGGAAAACAAAATGACTATGTTGAAATTTATTCTGGACGTTTCTATTTGTTTTTGATTGTTATTATTGATCCAGTTCTTTCTTCTTTGTGTTTCACTGAAGTGTTTGACTTCTTTTTCTGTCTGTTGTTATCTTTAGTGTTAGAAGAAAAAGGAAGACTAAAAAAAAAGCAATTCATTGCAGCATAATTTCATACCCTGGCGAATTTCACTTTCTTTTATGATATCTGAAGATTTTTTCTTCTCTTCTCTTCATGCTTTCATGGATTTAGCTAAAGGAAGCATGGTCATCCATGCACAATCGCACTCACACACACGTCCGTTGCGGGCGCGTTCCGCAAGCAAACGCAACGTCTTCAGGAAGATTCGATCTCGATACTTTTACTCTGCGTTTGAGAGAGTACTTTCTGAATTTGTGTTCTAATTCTTATGCTTGGAACTTTATTAGAGATATCCGTACGTCGAATGTGGAGAAGAAATATGACATTATCATTATTCATATCAATTTATGTTACTTGATACAGTTCATTGACTCTTTGAATTTGTGAACCTGATAAATCAGATTTGTCGATTGCTTTTGTTCGAGTTCCAAGTGTATTAAGTGATTAAACAGTATCTAGAAGATTGAAATTTTCTGGAAGATGTTAAATGGTTACAAAATGTACAAGCAATACTATTTATCTGATACCGAGAAGAATTCTACAAGGTACGTGGTTTAATGTGGAAATAAAATTTTTGGATGTGACAATTCATTTACACACATACGTATATTTTATTATATCGAGTTAGATTTAAAAAAAAAGAGAGAAACATAGGAGAAGCAATAATCTTTTATTGATTCTCATGGTTTTTTTAAGCGGAAGTTATTACTACTTTTTGAATCGCTGATGCGCTGCCTATACCTATATATTTGTAAAGAAAAATTGATATCACTCTTCTTTGAATACTATTTCAAGCTTAATGTCATTTTCGTATAATTTAGGATCAACAAATGTTTTATTTATTGTAAAGCTAATAGACTCATTTTTACTTTTTCTCAGTTCATTCAAAATACATTAATTTATCAGCATAAGCTGATAAAAAGCACAAAGTTCTATTATCTGTCAAAATTTGAAAACGCCCTGACAATCTAAGACGTTGGCGACCTCTAGATTCAAAGAGAATCATTGCTAATAATAGTACAGTTAAATTTTATCCATTCAAATTTCAATCTAACCTTTATATGCTATTTATTATACAGTTTTTTTTTGTCTTCATTCTCTGTTCAATTAAGCATAATAATAATGAGCACGAGCAAAAAAACAATAAGTATGTAATCTTAAATAAATAGAATTTCTTTTCTATCAAATAACTCATTTTAAAGAAAAACGAAAATGGTCATCTTCACCATCATCAACAACATCACAAGTCAATCGACGATTAGAAGTCCTACGTAGTGGACAAAGAAATTTATGGGACGATGATGATGATGATAGTGACCTTGAACCATATGTGAAATCAAAAAAACCTACAACTAGTAATAAAACATATATTGTTCTATCGGATTCAGATACTGAAAAAACATCATCTAGACCACGATCAAAAAGTAAGAAATCAAAGAAAAAATCATCTCGTACTTATGATGAAAGTTTAACATCAGACAATGATCATAAGCAAAGATCAAAATGTGTTACTTGTTTAATTTGTTCTATTCTTACAACATTAACATCATATAATTGTTGTTCAAAACATTTATCATTACTTATTAATAATAAAAATTCTCATGACAATCATCAGAAACAAACAATTAATACAAATCAATGGCCACCAAAGCAAGTTATGATTGTACCAATAACAGATGATCTTATTCAACGTTATATCAATCCACAAGAATTTGTTCATATTAAAACATCAACATCAACACCATCAATACATACAAAATCTGTCCAATCTAAAAGACCAGTAAGTTAAATCTTATACATGCTATCAAATAGAATTTTATTTACATTTTCTAGATTCGAAAATCATCAAAAAACTCAAGAATAGCATCAGAATCATCCGATGCTGATCATTCAATTATTAATAAAACAAAATCGTCAACAAAGTAAATCGTTTTGTTTTTCTTTTACAATCAAATATTCTCTTTGTTTTACTTTTACACAGATCTTCACATGTTCAACATGAACAACCAAACTGTTCATCTATTATCGCTGAATCAGTACGTCCACCAAATTCTGGAAAAACTTCACAAGATACAACATTTACAGTTATTACATCAACATCAACATCAACATCAACAACAATCAATAGTTTCGAAAGTCCGAATATTCTCGATACGTGTCAAATACAGCAATCATCTGATCCACCAATTATTATTTGTGACTCTCAACCCGATACTCAACAAGATAATTTATTAGTATCTAATACTCAAAAGAATCAAACAAATGATCCATGGACACCAATTAGTGATGAAACATATTCTGCTATTGAAACAGCTCTTCATCGAATTGATGAATCGTCACAAGAGCAAAATGAATTTACACCAACAACAGCTCGACGTACAGCAACAGATTTAATGGCATCTCGTTTACCTAAAATACAATTAAAAAAAGGTAGATTTCATCAAGGTAAACCTCTTAGTGATAAAAATATATCTGATAAAGCAACAAATGAATGTCAATCATCAACAATCTGTCAATCTTCTTCTTCAACTTCAACTTCAACATCCATTATTATTACAAAGTAATTCGACTTTTGGAACTCTTGCCTCCGTCTCATTTTTGGATGTTAAAATCAAATGTTTTTCGATTTTTAGTTTTTCATTGATAATGTAACTTTAAAGTGCCCTTTGTCAAATGCTACACATATGACTATTTCTCATTTTAAAAGTACTGAGAGCATCACTCATGGATCACTAACATCGCTGAACACAACCAATTTTCGAACACCTGATTGGAACAACAGAAAAACGAAGTGTTCTTTCCATACGAAACGTTTGATCGGACTTATATGATTTTTATGAGTACATTGAATGATATTGGAATGTGTTTTTGTTTGTTTCCTTCAAAATGTTGTTTCTAAGCGATTTGGTAGCCTTTAAAAAATTAGCATCATTGGAAAAAAACACCTTTTTTTTTACGATACTTCAAATATTTTGATTCTCCTGAGCTCTAAGAATAATATATGTAAAAGAAAAGAAACTTTGCACTTCGGTATGAACATAATTGTCATTCAAAAAAAGTACAGCTCGAAAAAATACAGGATAAGTTGTTCGAAAGGGATTCTTCTTATGCTTTTGTTTTTTTTTGTACATTAAGTAATCGACCAGCACCATCAGCATTAGCAACTATTATCGAGGATGAATCACTTATTATTCAACCAACACATCAAATATCAGATAAATCTTCTTCACCAAATCATGGATTATCTCAACGATCTGAACATACAAGTGAAGGTCTTAGTGATACTGTCATGAGCTGTTTACTTGCTCAAGATGAATCAAATGAACATGAAAATATTCATATAGTAACAAAAGCAATATCTAATGAAGGTATTTAATTATTTGTTGATTATTAAAAATAACGCTTAAATATCTATTGTTTAGTTCTTCCTTCTCATCCTCTTCCTACTATTATTATTGAAGATTATTCTAATAAAAATGCTATTTATAATAAATCAGTAGATATTTCTCAATCATCTCAATTAACAAATGATCAAACTGATCCTCAACAATTAACTCCATCAATTATGAATGAAAAACTAAAAAAAGTCCCGAGAAGATCATATCGTATGAATCCCGATGGATCACGAGTTAGTATAACACGATCATCAATATCAACAAATCGTCAATCATCAACTTCATTACGTCGAGTAAGAAAATAATTTATTTCTTTTTCTCAGTTCTGTTTCATTTGTTCAATATTTATTATCATAGTTATCAAATGATGTGACTTCGAATACATCTCATACAAAGAAATAACTACTGTCAATGTTCAAAATTTGCAAACTTTTCATATATGCATGCAATGTATTCAACATTTTCTTAAACTATACTAAATTTTCAAGATAGATAAATAAAACATGTGTTTAAAAACAATTTTGTTTTATTGTTCAGAGATTTTTTGTAAAGTGTATAGGGTTCTAATTAATCATAAACGATTCGTAATATAGTTTATCTCTACAAAATATGAATTGTTTGTATAGTTAGGAACAATCATATTATTCATGTTAGATAGCCATGATTCAAAAAGAAAAAGATAAAATTTTAAGAATAGCTGTTTGAAAGAACAATTGTATTTTACAGTTGAAAGTGTCTTTGACAATAGTAATGGTTATTTTATATCTTTTATAAATCGAATTTAGCATCCTTTTCTCATTTTCTAAAAGAAAATCTTGGAATATATAACTATATCTCGAAGTTAAACATTCATCTTCACTTTGAAGCACCATACATTGGATTTCAATAACTGATAAGAATCATTGAAAAATGTATTTTGTATGTCTATTCTATTTAAAATCATTTCCTAATAACTTTACTATAGACTAAATTCTTGACTACAATCTAACTTTAAGTGGTTGAAGTAAACTTCATCAGACAAAATTAAAATAAATGTATCTATTAGATAAAAAAACAAAAACATAGATTATTGGTTCTTCCTTTTTCAGTCCATATTTGATAGTGATACACAATGTGAAAGTCATCAAGTTGTTATCATTGTCGTCTTGTTTTCATATTCCTATTAAGAATCTAGTAAACAGGAGAAATTAATAGTAAAAGTCATTGTGAGTTTATCTATTTATAATTTTAAATTGTAGATACATATACTTCAACTTAGTCCGAAGAAGTTCTTTTCAGCAATGAAACATTATATTGTAAAATTGAACTATTTGGATGAGATGTACGCAATCCACATCAAGTAATATATCGTTATAACTTAAGAATAATATCTTGTCATATTCTAAAGAATATCTGGATCTAGTTTACTAAAAAAGAGTCCACTAGTCTGTTTTCTAGATATTTTTGATTGTTCTTGCTGTTGTACGGGTATTGATAGTTCAGGTACTGCATGTGTAGACACAGTTTCTTCAACAGATTCATTTGATGAATCCGATTCTATTTGTGTCTTCACTGAATTATACAATTCATCACTATCATCCCTATCTGACAATGATTCATTGTCACTATTTCGATTGTGTCGACACAGATAAAGAAGACATAAGATCAATACAATAATACCAATTATCAAAAATAGAAGTATAAGATATTTAATATAAGATGATGATTTTTCAGTTGAAGAAAGCCTATTGAAAGGTATTACAGATGTTGTTGATATAACAGTTTTCCATGGTTTTGAAGTTTTAGAGCTTTTCTTCGATGTTGTACTTGTAGTCAAGCGTGTTGTGGATCTTGTTTCGAAGATATCACCCAAAATATTATCAGCGTTTGTAGCTGTAATAGTTGAAGCTATAATTTCGTGAGTATCTATCGACGTAGTTATTACTGATGCACTCATATCAAGCGATGATGTAAAAATGTCGCTGATAATAGACGTGGCTATTGTTGGACTATTATTACTGGTTGACAAAACTGTAGTATGAAACTTTGTAAAAGTAGTAGTTGAAGGTGTAGTACTAATTGTGGACAATATTGTTATATAACTGCTATTGAATGAAGTTGTATTCTGGGTGCTATCAGGTAAAGATGTTGACTTCAAAGAAGAGATTATAGTAGTCTTTTGTAAATCAAAGAAAAATGTTTGTAATTTTTTATTTATAGATAGAATCAAGTGAGTTCTATCAAATCGATTTAAATTAAAAAAATAAATCTATTCATTCTAATCTTCTTCATGACAAAACTGTTCAAGTCTAATATCTATTATCTATCTCGTAAAATGTATTTTTTAAGTCTTTTGATATGTAAAGTAAAAAAATAAAGACTTACTGATATAGTAGTAATCGTCGTTAGTAATTCATCATTAAAATAGTATCCATTATTTGCTTGCCAATCTGATGGAGCATAAGGTGGATTCACAAAAAACTTGTCTAATAGGTTCCAATCAACTTTTGTTAGTGAAGATGTAACTTGAGGATCATAATAACACAACCTTGTCACAATTGCAAAGAGGTGGTGTAAACATGTTTTATTTCTTACAAGTCCACTTTGATTGAATTGAAACCGACAAATAACTGGTTGAGTATCAAATTTCATATATAATGTTCGAGTTTCATCACTTATTGATGAAAAACTTTGCGAACCTAGATTAATAAATATTTGGGAATCGACACACTTGGCATTGAATGAATATTGATGATATGTATTATTAATCGTGCCATTCAAATCGGGTGATGGATATGACCCTAGTTTGCTTGGTTTACATAGATTTTTTGTTTTATTGTTTTTCATCATTGTATAATTCGACTTAAAAAAAACATTCAATGTCATATTTTTCTGAATACAAACAGTGTGAAAAGTAGTTTCTTCGATTGTATTAATAGGATTAGTTTCAAATAACATAGTCTGATTTGGACATGATATATTCATTCGAGAAATGTTATGCCAATCATTAAAAATGAGATATTCGTGTGTAGAACACCTTAATACATTGCTAGCTGTTGCAAATAAAAATTTCAGTTTCACTGAAGAAGTTTTATGAAAAGAGAAAATATAAATAACATGAACAAACAGAACATAAAGATATTTAGAAATCATTTTGAAACTCAGAACAGAAGAATCATTAATGTATGTGTGCGCGAAAACATAATTTTTTTTTATTCTTATGAAAAACTATGTCATCTTGTGCATAGGAAATATATTGTTCAGAAATATGAATCAAATATGCTGTAAGGAAACGCTAAAAAGTCAACATATAAAAAACTTGCGAAACAAAAGTTAAACGGATTGCTACAAAGATAGACATAAGTATTTGTACATATAGGAATACAAATACGATGTATACTAATAATTGATAGAATCAAGAACAACATAAAGATATTAGTCAAGATGAGATGCTATTGATCGTGATGAAAAATAAGTTCATGTTTTTCAAAGTTCTATACGTGAAAACAAAAAAAGGCAGGGAATAAAATGACGAACATCACATGATTGTAATAAATATGAAGTTCATGCTCAGGACCAACTCAATCAAAACGAAGCTAAAACAGCACAAAAGAAATTTTTAGACTGTTGTAAAGTGATATCTTTTAAAAATCGCATAGTTGAAGTTTTTATACAGATAGAAACAGACACTAATGTAAGTTCTTTTAAGAATAAAAACATTGTTGTCTATTCCATCAAATAAATCAATTATTCAAAAAGTAAAAGCTAACACTTTCTACTCGCGCTGCAAACTCTTATGAAATCATTTATAACACTATAGTAGTTAAATTGTGGAATATTAAATTCTCGCATCGTGAATCTTCTACCATATCATAAATCTTTTTCATGTATTTTTAATTACTTGATAACCATTTCATGTTTTTTAATAAGTGTTGATACACATATGATGTTACAAAACAGAAAGCAAATAATCTAATGACTTTAGTGTTGAAGTTGTGTATACCTACATTGAAGTATCTCTTTTTGAAGAATCCAGAAGTCACATCTGATTGATTGTTACCTTTATTAATTAGTCAATTGAAAGATTGAATCAACCTGTTATCTTCCAATTAACTGAAGTTAATTATGATTTCACACCGTGTATTGCATGATGAAAAAAACACAGAAGAAAATATCGGGCTTCCATTTAACTCAAACTGATGAAAAAACCATGACATTAATTATTGATGCTTCCTTTTCGGCTCATATTTGATAATGATACAGAATATCAAAATCATCCAGTTGCCAGTATTTTCTTGTTGTTTCTAACTCACTATTACGCATGAACAGAGCAAGAAGAATCAATAGTAGAAGTCATCGTGTTTTTATCTATGTATTCTTTGAAATTGTGGAAGTATTTATTTTTATTTTGTTTCAAGAAGTCTTCTTCAACAATGGAAAATTGAATTGTGAAACTGACGGGTTTTATAATAAATTTAGTAGGAAGAGACATCAAGCATGACAAGGGAATACCATGTTTTCCTTTTATGTATGTGAATACCGAATGAAATGTACGTAATCTAAATAAAAATTTTAAAAAAATATCGTAATAATTTAACAGTCACATCTTGTCATAGTTTAAAGAGCATCTGGATCTAGCGTACTAAAAATGCGTCCAGTGTTCTGCTTCCTAGATTTCTTTGATTGTTCTTGCTGTTTCACAGGTATTGATAATTCTGATATAGCATGTGTAGACGTCGTTTCTTTATCATACTCATTTGATGAATCCATTTCAGATTGTGTCGCCACTGAATCATATGATTCATCACTATCATTACGATCTAACACTGATTTAATATCACTATTTCGATTGTGTTGATAATAATAAAGAAGAAATGACATCAGGGCAATAATGCCAATGATAAAAAGGAGAAATATAATATATTTGTTACGAGATGATGATTTTTTATTTGGAGGAAGTCTATTTAAAGGTGTTACAGATGTTGTTGAAGTACTAGTTTTCGATTTTTTTGATGTTTTCGAGCTTTTTTTCGATGTTTTGTTATTTTTTACATTTATATAAGATGTTGTACTTCTTCCCAAAAATGTTGTGGATATTGTTTCGAAGGTAGTATCCAAAATATGGTCAGCATTGGTAGTTGTGATAGTTGAAGATACAATTTCGCTACTCTGTATAGACGTAGTTATACTTGGTGTACTACTTTCACTTGATGATGTCGGAGTGTCCCTGATAATAGACGTGGCTAGTAGTGTTGGACTATTACTCCTGATTGATAATATTGTAGTATCGAACTCGATCAAAATAGTAGTTGATAATGAAGTACTAATTGTGGACAATGTTGTTACATCACTATTACCGAATGAAGTTATATCTCTCGTGCTATCGATTTCCGTAACAGAAGTTGTAGGTATTGTAGTACTAACCGTTGAAAATATTGTTACTTCGCCAGTGCTGGATGAAGTTACATTCTTGGTGCTATCAGGTAAAGATGTTGGCTTCAAAGAAGAGATTGTAATAGTCTTTTATACATGAAAGAAAAATGTATGTAATTTATTATTTATACATAGAATCAAAGAAATTGTGTTCAATAGATTTAATTTAAAAAAAAAATCCATAAATTCTTACGTTCTTAAAGTCAAAAGTGATCAGGTTTAGTATTGATTACTCAGAATTTTTAGATTTTAATCAGCGATATATGACGAAGAATAGACAATATCGGATTTATGATGCATTTATTGATTTGATTGACTAAAACCTCTTTAAAATACAAATGAGTTTCTACACAAAATATGTTTTCTTCAAAACATCATCAATAATGACGCAATAAAGCACTACACGAAAACTTAATCATCTGAAAAATTCGTGAAATGTTTCATGAACGTAATCTACTAAATAACGAAAGATAAAATGTTGATTATCTATCTCATAAAGAGTATTCATAAGCCTTTTGATATGTAAAATATGAAAAAAAAACTTACCGAAGTAGTAGTAGTAGTAGTGGTCGTTGTTAATTTATCATTATAATAGTATCCATTTTTTGCTTGCCAACCTGATGGAGCATAAGAGAGATTCGCAAAAAAATTTTCTAATAGATTCCAATTAACTACGTTCAATAATTTTTCGAATTGAGGGTCATAATAACACAACTTTGCCACTATCAAGGTGGCATTCTGTAAACATGTTTTATTTCTTACGAGTTCACTTTGATTGAATATAAATCGACAAACAACTGGTTGTTTGTTAAATATTGTATATATGGTATGTATTTCATTAAATGTAGATGAAAAATTTAGCGAACCTAAATCAATAAATACTTGAGAATCGATACATTTAGCATTGAATGAATATTGATGATATGTATTATTAATTGTGCCAGTCAAATCAGCTAATGAAGATTTTTTAATTAAACTTGGTTCACATGGATTTTTCATCTTTCCCTTTTTCATCATTGTATAATTCAACTTAACAAAAGGATTCAATGTTGTATTGCTCTCAAAACAAACAACTTCAAACATAGTTTCTTCGATTAAATGAGGAGGATTAGTTTCAAATAACATAGTCTGATTTGGACAGGATATATTCCATTGAATAAATTTATGCCAATCGTCAAAAATGAGATATTCATGTGTAGAACATTTTATAACATTAGCTTCTGTTGTAAATAAAAATTTCAGTTTGACTGATGAAATTTTATGAAAAGAGAAAACAAATATAATATTAACAAACAGAACATAAAGATATTTAGAAATCATTTCTATAAACTTAGAAGAGAAGAATTAATAATATCTATGTGCGCGAAAAAAGAGATGTTTTGTTATTATTAAACAGCAATTCATCTTGTACATATGCAATATATTGTTAAAAAGTAATCATTTCCATTGAAAAATAATTCATATGGTAGCGAAATCTTATCTTGACAAATAAACTGCTTAAATGTCTTCATATGTTGTGTCTGTGTAGTTGTCTTTTTTCTATCATAACCTGGACCAGTATTCGTTCATTAAATTGAATACTATCAGAGAATACTTCATATCCACTCAATAGTTTCAATAGAGACGTTCGATGTACAATATGAAGGATGGCACAGGAGTGTAGCGTAGTTAAATGTATTCACACATGCATGGATGAAGACGAGTACAATATACCAGTAGTACCTGTTGCAAAGCAGAGTATCATTAGACATAAGGAAAGTTAAGCCTCAAAATTGTGAATTATGATAACCAGTTCATGTTTTTTCAAGTTCTATAAGTAAAAACAGAAAAGGCAATGATTAAAATGGAAATCATAACATGACTGCAATAAAGATGATGTTCACGCTTAGAACCAACACAATAAAAATGAAGCTAAAACATGGCTGAGAAGAAACTTTTAGTTTGTTTTTTTTTTGAGACGGTGTCTTGTACAAAATAATTGTTCCATTGTGAAAACAAACAATAGCAGGTTTCCATAGGATTCAAGTCGATTCCTCTGTTGACAGGTCAGAAAACATATACAAATGCTTCCATTGAAAGATATTTTATAATTTTTTTTCTACTGGAAGCTATTCAAGCATTTATTATTGAGAAATATTCGATTATAATGCAAGTAATCTTCGATAAAAAGTGCATGATGTTTCACTATTCTTATTCTAGTTGCCAATAAGTAGAGATGATATAATTCCCTGATATTTCATGAAAAAAGAAAAATATATATTATAGAACAGTTTCAGCTACATTTTTCTTTACCCGTACGTAGATATATCCCGTGAAGTTTATGATAACCGTAATGTTAACACCAATGAATCTTGTTTTCTGTTATCAATATCCACTTAAATAAATATAATAGAGGACGGCTCCAACAATATACTATTATCTCATTTCAAGGTTTTTATCTTTCACAAAAATGAGAATGTCTTTATTTTTGCTTACTACTCTTATTTGTTTCAATCAAAACAGATATACTAATTAATCTATAGTTGTTGATACAAACTATAGTGATGGACTTGAACTATCAAATAGATTTGACTCGTGTTGACTAAGGCTACACGTCAAGACTCAACTGGACCAATGTGTATTAATTACTGAAAATGAAAAATATATTTATTGGTAAGATTAGAGATGTAAGTCAATGGATTGATTGGTGACAGCTGGATTTTTTAATGAACTCTGAAAAAAAGGTTTACTTAATTTCGAGAAATTTTGAAATGAAAAAAGAGAAAAAAAATGGTTGGAAACTTATTGCCATGACATCAAACAGTAATATCTTCAGAAATTCATTTGGAACATTGAAAAACTTTTGAACAATCATATATTTATTTTTGTGTCATAGCGGTAACGGTTAAACTCACTTAGATTGATTTCAATTTAATATAAATAAAGATAAAAGAATTTTTTCTGATAATAATTTACATTATTAAATAAATTTTATATTTAAACATATTCAATATTTCAATGAATGAATATAGAATATTCGAAATAAATCGAAAGCAAAAAGAAAATTCTTAACTATTTTACTTATTTATTTATTTATTAAATTCAAAAAAGAACTTTCTTATATCCAATTTTATCCCAAAAATCACAATCATCTTTCAAATAGTTTTCTTGAACTTGTAATGGATTTTGAAAATACATATATTTTTCATTTCCAGTAGTTACTCTTGGCCATGGAGTTGATACACGTACAGGTTCATTTGGATCTTGACTTGTAGCAAAATTTGTCCAATAAGTTGCCATACTTTGAGATATACGTCGTCCAGCATCAGTAAAATTCTCCCATGATGATTCAAATAAAAATGGTAATTCAGCACCATGACAAACATGTCCATTACAAAATGTTTCATTTCCCCAACCGTCAAAATCAAGTGGATAACCAAATACATAAGAATATGATGCAGCTTTACGTGCAAAAATACGATTTGAACACGCAAATGCCCATTGAGTAGATACACGAGATAATAATGGTCGTACATCAGATAGACTATCAGGTGGATAACGTATAAGAACTTTAATTGCATTTTCACGAAATGTACCTACAATAAGTTCACCATAGAGTGTTGGCGTCAATGGTTGTGTCCATCCTTCATAAATAAAAAAAAGAGCTTCTTCAGTTAATGTACCAATAATAAGTTGTTTAAGTGGAAATGATGTATTATGAACAAGATCAAGAAGTTGACCATTTACAATAACATTATCAATAACAGGTACCCATGGTTCGAAGAAAAGTAAAATTCTAAATGACGTGATCATATTATTTATAATTTCTTGAGCACGAACAATATCTTGAAATGAAGCACGACGAAAACATGCAATATCACCAACAGCACAATGGAGTTGTTCTGCAAGAAGAACAGTGGGTGTTACATATTCTAAATATGTTCTTTATAGAAATAATACAAAATTTAGATATGCATATATATTTAATTTCATTTTTAATATGTTACCGAAAAGGAATTGTTAAAGGTGCACTTTGAATAATGGCACGTTGAAAAAATGATTGCATATCACTTGTAACATAATGTAAAGCAGTTGATTGTCCACCAGCACTTTGACCAAATAATGTTATCTATTTAGAAATTATCAGTTAAATATATTTAAATAAAATAATGATTTTTTTAACTTCATTTGGATCTCCACCAAATGCATCAATATTTGCTTTAACCCATGCAATAGCTAAACGTTGATCGAGTATACCAAAGTTACCTTTGATATCATTTGGACCAGTACCAGTTGCCAAAAATCCAAGAATACCTAATTTTAATAGTAAATAGTTACATTGTTATCTCGTTTTTTTTCTGTTTACCGAGTCGATATTGAATGAATACAAGAACAATATTTGTTGTGTTAACAAAACGTTCCGATTCATAAATAGGTGCTGAAGCATCAAGAAATTGAAAATTACCACCAGTAATAAAGATCATAACAGGTAAAGGCGTTGATCGAAGAGACTGTGTAGGTAATGGTGTAAAAATATTTAAATAAAGACAATCCTCAGAAAGCTAAACAAATAAAAAGTAACATCATCTACATATTTTTTTTAATAATATAACGTACTACAGCAGGACATAAAATGGGAGGAACTTTACATGGTGGTTGTGGACAAGCAGGTGGTGGTTTTGTAGCATTTATTACATTAGGAGACCATTTACCTATAGGTACTGGATGCTGCCATCTACATTAAACATTTAAATAAATTTAACATCAGTACTATCAAATATAATTACCTTAAATCATTAACAGGTGGTTGAGCAAATGGAATACCATAGAAAATACGAGCTACATCAGTCTCATATCCAACTACATCACCATAATTTGTGCTTACGGTAACAGTTCGATTAGCATGAATATGTTGTGTGAAACAAGCCACAATGAAGAACAGAAACACGACTATCATCATTCTAATGTAAAGTGAAAAGAATAATGAAGATATGTAAAAAGAAGAATAAGATACCTGGGAGTCTATATAATCTGTGGTGTTTTTTTTTTTCAATTCTTTATTTATAATGAAATGATAAGAGAAAAATACAGTTTATCAGAAGTAAAACAATAAAATATCTTTATCACATTTCATTTTCAAAGTAGTGAAAGAAAAAGGGGAGTGATTGTTTGTCTAAGGAGTTCTTATCAAATATTATAAAAAAAAGTATACAATCGACATTTGAAGAAAAAGATAATGTTAATACAAATTTATTGATGAAAATCCTTTGAAATATTTCGTTCATGAAACACTATTTATAAGAAGTATTGTAGTATAAGGGTAAAACAACGAATACTAACTATAACTCTGGATAGAAAGCCAGCATGACATGAAGTTCTTGCATTCAATTGCTTGAACTCCCCACACATGTTAACTAACCACAAGAGCAGCTGTATGTTACAACATAATCAACATGCTATCAGACGCATGGTTCGATATAAACAGCCATTAGTGAATTTCTTAAGGTTTTTTCATAGCTAATGGTACCCAGATTGGAACCAAATATCTTGCAAATAGGTATCAGACTATGTGACCATTCAGCCATGACAGCGAAAAATTTGGATCTCTCACAGACCGTGATAGATGCCCTGTTAATGTTTCTCCTCTCGTTAACAAATCATGGTAGACTTTGTTGACACATGACCTGCGATCATATATCAACCCAGGTCGAAGAATCACAGGCTCGGATCCGATAGAAAATATCAAATAAACTCATGCTTTCCGACATGGATCTGACAACTTCCGATAGGAACCTGTCGGAAATCGTCGGAATCCTTGGTACAGGATTTCGTTGGGAAGTTGTCGGATACACTCGAAATCCGATGGAAGCCTGTTGAATTTTTATCTAAACATTAGATATTGTTAGTCCCCCTCCCCCTTTCACTTTCTTCCTCATCTACAATTAGCTGCAAATTAACAGTTTTAATCTAGTTTATTTTAACTTTTTATTAAACAAAAAAAAATTACAATCAAATAAAATAATTCACAATAAAATCAAATAAATCGCAATACAATAAAATAATTTACAATAAAATAAAGTAAATTATAATAAAATAAAAATAAAAATAAAATACAATAGATAAAATTCTTTACTTTAGTCGCATCTATACACTGACTGATGTTATGTACTCACACAATATTACATGTGGGCAAGGGCACTGTGATTAAAGTGGAGAAGAACCTAAAAATAAAAAAATAAATATACAATAAAAGAAAAATGAAAGAAAATAAAAAAAGAAAGTTATAAATAAAATAAACTAAAATAAAGAGCAATAAAAATATAATAAATGAAATAAAGTTTCTATAGATACATTTGTGGCATCGCATTTGGTCGGATCCGACAAGTTCCGATTGTCAAATTTCATCGGATCCTATTGTCAGAATCCGATAGAATCCAACAGCGAAAATCGTTGGTAATTAATGGATGTTGATGGTTTCCGACAGTTGGATCCGATCGGAATCCAACTGTCGGAAACTGTCGGATAGTGTCGGATCCGACAGGGTGAATTCGACCTGGGAATGTTTCAAAATAGTTTGAATAAAGCAATCTTCTATGATTATCAACAGTAGCCAAATTATGTTTCACATTTTGATCTCGTAGGAAGTACAAAAAGAGCGTTTTATTTTTAGCCAACAAAATCCTAATCAATCGAAAATAAATTATCGATGAGAGCGCGTATAGTTTAAATTTTCAAAGTAATTTTTAACTAGTTTCTTCTTCTTTTTTTAACCGAATGTCATTGTACTAATAATAAAACATAAATTTCGATCGAAATCCGATGAATGAAAAAGACACTGTTCATATTCTATCAAACACTTTATCACGACGTTTTTTTGTTCGTAGACGAAATATAATTGATTCATTATCATCTCCTTCAATTTCGATCGAAATAATGACAGAAAAATCAATAATATCATCAAATAAAAATTGTTGTGGAAACGATGAAAAAAAAGTTCGTATTTCATCAGTTAAAAATGATAATCCTCGTACAACTAAAGACAAAATTATTTCTACACCAAATGAACTTATTATAGAAATACCTAAACAAACAAAATCTTTAGAGGTTGTATCCAATAAAAACCTACCATTATTCTATGAAATTATAAGTAATGCATGGCCATTATCAAATGAACGTGTCGAAAATTTGATTATTAGCAATAAAAGATGTCAATTTTCTAATGAAGCAATATCTATAAAACCTATCACAGCAGGTATGTGTATTTATAATCTCTATTTATTCGATATATTTGAAAATATTTAATGAATGAAACCTTTTTTAATATGCTTTCGAGGAATGTTATTTTTTTTCTTTTTCTAGTACCTGGCATAGGCCAAAAATACGGTCAATTATTAGCTGATCATGGGTTTATTTATGCTAGACAATTACTTGGATATTATATGATGCTGAAAGACAATGAAATGTTTCGCAAATGGCTTGAATATAAATTTCATATTCCAAGATTTCGAGCAGCTGAAAGTAAGAAAATAAAATAAAAAAATTTATTCATCATAAATAAAACCTTATATAAACTCTATTGGGCTAATTTATTTTGCATAAGAACAACATTTATAAATATTGCTGTCAACTATTATCATTGATTTCCATGATGAACTTCTATCTTTTTTAGTGTTGAAGATGATTGTAATAGATCGATCAGTGTATATATTTTTCATTTGACTAGAGTCTATCAAGTCAAAAATTTTCGGACCCGAATTTGAATGGCTCTACCTTGAATGAATTTATTCGATCATGTGTTGTGTTCTGTGATACGTAGTTGTTCTTTTTCTCTCGCTATAAATAGAGACATTTGTCTTTTCTTAAGTACAAAGAAGTGAAAATGATAGTTATTTTAGCTTTCACATGGATTTATCCTTGATGGTGCTCGTGTTTATAGAGATTTCGACAAAAATATACTTCGAAATTTTAGATTCATCTTAAGACCTATAAGGTCATAAAGCTTTTATGAAAAGATTCTCAAATCTTTTCTATCACGAGAAAAAAATTCCATGGAATGAAAATATTAAAATTTTCTATTGTACAGCTGCTTATAAATCATCTTGTCTTCTGATGAATCACAAATAAATAAGAATTAATATGTAAGTCATGTTTTGTTTTAATCTCCATGAAATAACTATATTATGTAAATATTATTTCTAAACTCTGCTTTTTCAAGATTAAATTAGAAAAAAGCTGTTTGCATAATTCCTGCACTATTGAACTGTGAAATACAATACAGCTAGTCTGGCTAATCACCGAGAAATTGTTGTCCTCGATGTATTTTTGGTAACATTTCTTCATCAAGATTTTACTTAATCCTCTGGAAATAGAATAAATAGGTCATGCATTAGAGCGAGACCTTATTGATATACGATCTATGATAATATATTAAAAAAACGTCTTCTTGAAGTCTATGGGAAAGGAGTAGGAGTGCAATTTATATACTTCAACACTTCTTTTAGGTTGTGTTTCATCATAATAGGAGATTTAAATGTAGAATCTACAAATAATAATTATGTAACTTCTATTTTAGTTACAAGCGCATTAAATGAACTGCTTCGGCGAACATTATGATTATGGAATTTTTTGATTACTTTATTTGTTTTATATAACATTTATTACGAATTTATTATATTACTAAGAGTAATATTTTATGTACACATGTAAAAATTTTATTCATAAAAAAACCAAATGTTTCTATGTTTTAAATAAAATATAATGGAATAAAATAGAAATGTATTATATTCTTTTTTGTTACTTCTTAAGGAACAATGTTTAATAGCTATTACTAAGTATATTAAAATAGATTATCTCATATGACTTCATACTAGGAAATTATGATTAAAATGTCGTGGTTTTTTTCTAATGTATTCCATAAATAAAGCAAGGCTTGAATTAATCGAGAGTGATGAATTATAGGAATGCCGAAATGTGCGCACGAGATAAAAAAACAATAAGTTCATATTTATACTCTATAAACATTCAAACAAATAGAATATTGAACCGAAGATAATTCATAGTAGACTTAATTGAAAGATTGTTAAGAAGAAACCCGATAACAATACATCAGTTCAACAGTTAAATACAAAAATAATTTTTTTCATGACTTTTTAATGACTTTGTCTGATATATCAAAACACAAAGGTATACGCAGACCAATAAGTAGATTATAATGTCCTACGGGAACAACTTTTGTCGATTCCCATAGAAGATTTCTTGTTCATGTTTTCAAAGCCTTCATGAGAATTTCTGCTCTCAATTCCCATAGAACACTAGATAATATATTCTTAGATAATCAAGAACTGTAATGATTAGATTTCGTACTTTTTTTTTAATGCTTTAACCTCATTAGAATGAGAGTATTTTAAGAATAAAAGATTTCTGAGTATATAAAAATAGTTAATTGCGATGAAAATAGTTCATTATCTATTCTACTCAAATATCTTTATTCTTGTCGAACTCACTACTATCATAAGAGATCGTCCTTCAATAAGATTATAATGTCATTCATATACGCAAGATCATTGAATGAACCGAAAGACTTATTTGTTCTTGTAAAGATCATGAAAATTTTTATTTGTTATTGTCACATAATTACACATCATTTTCTACTGCTGTATAAAAACACGTGCCATAGTATTATAAAAATTTTATTGGGTTTGCTAATTTTTGAAATTTTTATTATCTTTTGAAGTATAAGTAATTATTTCATGTTTTTCTCGTGTTTAAACTTCAATGCGCATCTTTTGTAGACTGAAATTATAATAGAAAAAAAAATAAACACAAAGATCAATCGGCATTTTTTATATATCTTCTACTCAAATATCATCAATAGTGCAACAGGAGATGCCAAGATATCTATTATTAGAAACAATGAACATAAGTTCATATTATACTTGTGGTTGAGAAGCACCAAAAATAAAAAGCTGTGTATTTTTGACAGATGTCAAATTATATCAAGAGAATACAAGACATTCGCTGAGTATGTTGTAGTTTTAATAAAATAATCATAACCAAATTTATTAATAACAAAAACTTATGACGTTAGAGAGAGAAAAAGAGGTAGGCGAATGCTTCTTGTTAACAAAATAAAATTTTTATGTTCTGACTATTTTTTTCATTAATATTTATCTACCAAAAACACACTTTAAGACGGAAAAAATGTTTTGCATAATTACTTTCGATAAAAAAAACACTGATTTTTACACTGTTTGAGCAATATTTAACCTCCCACAACGATGAAAAACGGACAGATAACTTGCTAGCAAGGTAAATAGTAATATCAGGCTTCTTAGATTATGGTGAATAAAAATAAAAATTTTATAGTTTATTATTTTTATCATAGAATTTATCTTGCTGTCAAATAAATCAATGTACTATTTCATTTGAACTAATAAATAAAGACTTTTTATTGAATAAATTAAGTACATGATTTATTTGCTCTATGCTCACATATACAGTTGTGTCAATATTTTTATCTTATAAATTCCTCAGATTTGTTAATATGTACATAATGAGAAAAATGTCTTCATAGCAAGTTTGCTGAATTATTAATGAATAATAAGCATATGTTTATGCCTTAGAGTAAATTATAAGTAATTTCCAGACTAGAATAAATTAACTAACAAGTAAGAACTGACCAATAAATATTGTTATTATTCTAATAAGATAATTCATTGAAAATATTAAGTATATTCTTTAAAAAAGTTAATCAAAATATAATTAAATTATGTTATCAATGAGATAGATCATATTTTTATAGAATGTACTTTCTGTTATAATTATCAATACAAAATAAATGAATAACAAATTCTTTCGTCTGTTTTTACATTATACAACGACAAATAACAGAAAAAAAATTAATGTGTACAGTTCGACATTATATTAACAGATCGAAAATTAATTTTCGACAGAATTAATCAATAATTATATTGACATTTTTTTTTCTTTAATTTATTTTCACAAGAAGAACAAATTGCATTGAAAAAAAAGTAAAAATACAATACAAATAAAACTCAATATAAGAACTTTAGTTTTAAATAACTTATTAGCATTTGATAAAATTTCTGAAACTGAATGTCTGTTACAACCATCACTTGAACATGTCCGACTGCAATAAAAATATAATGTTGACTCAACATCTATATATACTGCGGGTGGATCACAGTCATGCTTAGCAGAAGGAGTTAGTTTACAACCACGGTGAATCAGCACACCTACAATAAAAAAATTATAACGAAATAATTAAATAAAGCTAATTTAATGGAATGAAAATATATTCAAATAATTGGTTTTTTTTATCTCTAACATTTATAGCATAATTAAAAGCTCTAATATATATAACTTACTTTGAAATAACGAATGTCTCTAATATAATCAATAAATCATTTTATTATAATCACGTCTTGCAAAATAATGAATATTCTGATTTATTCGATAGACTTTTTCAACAAGACACATAAATACAATTTGCTCATAATATCTTCAAAATGAAGTATTCGATAATACATCAATACTAGACAATATAAAAAAATGACTGTATTTCAACTACATTTATTCTAAGCATTTATAACCGAAAAAATCCAATTTTTTGAAATGACAAGTCCATCAAAAGTATTAATTGATTGAATAGAGAACATTATTAATATTTTATAATCATCATATAGACATGAAAGTAGAACTGAAAATTTTAAAAAATAAATTATTTATCAGCAGACAATAATTCAAAAGAAAACATTTTGTTAAAAAATATCAGTTCAACTAATAAAATTCTTGACATAAATAATTAAGCAAAGTCAAGATTTTTTAATTCTATCAAATGTATTCTACAGTTCTATTTAGTAATATGTCAGTAAAAATTTTCTTAGTTACTTATCGTTGATGAATAATATTGTAAATATTTTACCTGCACTTCCTCGTTGACTTATTCTATAAAGAGCTGATCCACATTGTTGAAAAGTTAGTGCTGATCCATTAACTATTGCTTCACATGGTAATGGTGATAAAGTGCCATCCAAACATGAATGATCCCAACTGGTTGACATATGTCGAATAGGACTTGTACATTGAATACAATCAAGTTGATAACCTAAAGAAGATAAATTCATATTGTTATATAATATATTTATCTCTTATTTAAATTGACTTACTAGTTCGAACTAACCATCCGATAAAAATAAAAAAATATTGATTAATATCCATATGCATATCAATCAATGATCATAATCTTTATTTGATTTACTAACTAAAAAGAAAACAATATTAAAGAAATGTAAAAATAATTTTTGTTTTATCTTTTCTCTACAGTGTTCTTCTGTTTTCTTTTTTTGTGATTGCAACACTTCATTCTTAAATCCTTCACAAATACAGAAAGAACGTAATATGCATTGCAAATAAGAAAAAAAAAAATTTTAAGAAAAAAAAAAAAAAAAAAAAAACTAGGAAATAACATTCTCATTTCTCTTCCTTGTTCGCATTTTTGCATTATCTATATCGACAACCATAGACGAATTCTAGCTGTTTTTCTTTCCTTGTAGGCAAGATTAATAGATGATTCTTCTTTCACATGATATAAAGAGAAAACTGACAAAACTATCGAAACTAATCAATTATGATTTTTTTTTTCTTTAACATCTTTCATCTCTCTAATGAACTTGAAACAAAGAATAATGATCCTTTACTTCTATTTTGATTATTCTCATATGAGAAACTTTGACGTCTAACCTATCGATTATTGATGCCACAACTGTACACTATTTGATTAAAAACATTCTCATGAGAATTATTTTGATGCTTGTTAACAGATATAAGAAAGAAAGAACGAATTTAATTTTGTTAAGTGTTAAGAGATTTCTTAATGATGAAATTATATTTTCAAAAATATTCCCAAGTGCACGAAAATTGGTGAAGACATCATTCATAAAAAATTGTTTTCTTACCATAATTCAAGTATGAAGAAAAGACTTTTATGACATTAAATATAAATATTCTGATATACTATTGAAGAAAAACAAAAAGAAAACAAATATATATATACAACTTTAGGAAGAATTGAGTAATATTTTGGATTAATACGGTGCAAGAAAAAGGAGAAGAAAAAAAAAAAAAAGAAAGTATAATCAATTTCCTGTCACGTAGAAAATGGTAGTCACTTAATGAATTCGATGCATTTGTTTTTCTTTTCTTTCTTCGTTCAAATCGCGATAAAAATCTAAGTAAATCTATTCTTTGTTATCTATGCGTGATTTCATTAGGAAGAAAAACAAATACTGTTTGAACTCATACATTATTAAATTCAATTTAATTTATCAACTTCCTTGAATATGTTTCACGATGATATGAAAGAAGCATTCACTGAACTCAGCTATTGTGATACAATATATTGAACGAATAATGAACTAATAGTTCTTTGAACTTCTCTTACATTATCTCCGTAATAAAGTAAAAGCAAAAAACATTTTTATATTAAATATACTTGCTTGTTATATTTCCTAAGTTCCATTATGACTATAGACAAATCATAATGTTAAACACAACTTTACTATGGTTTAGATAAAATATAAACATAGAAAGACGACATTTTTTCTTTCTCCCTTAACAACCTTGTCTATACTATTCTATATAGAACGATGTTCTTTCTTTCTTTCTTTTTTCTTTTATTCTTCCCGAAAATATTATTTGTCTTTTACGACCATGGCACTTTTGTTGTGTACAAAGAAAATAGAAATAATTAATTGAAGTCTAAAAAAAAAGAAATTCTTCTTCTTAGGTTTTTTTTTCATTTAATAATGCATATATCCTATGAATTGTTGATAGTGTTAAAAGAAAGTAAATCATACAGTGAAAATGCATATGAATATAGCTAAATATTGTAAGTGCTTGGTTGTTGCTTGAATGAATACTTAAATTAAAGTGTAAATAATTTAGATAAAGATTGTGTGATGTATTTTGTTTGTCTACAGACTTTGAAGTCACACATACAAAATAAGACTATTCTTTATTAAAGTCAAAAACTAATTGGTCCATGTAGTTGTTAAAGAGAAACGAATGGAAAGTACTTTCATTTAAGTAATAAGAAAACACATGTCGGAAACGAGAAATACAATGCTCTTTAAAAAGAAAAAAAAAGAAAACCCTTTTTTTAAAAGCATGTACTTGAGTACTATGAATGATTACTCGTATTTTTCGGTTGAAAACAACTTTGTAAATTTAGATCCAGAAATTAAAAGCAATATAAATATAGAGCTTTCTTCTAGTGCAGTCGTTCGATTTTATTATTAAGAATTAAATGAGAAACGGATTCTCAATTCCGGATCTATAATTATTTATACAAGGAAAAAACAAAACAATTAATATTTTCTTAATATAATCGTTCGAAATTATATTTTTTCTACATGATTCTAGAACATATCAGTTAAATTAATTCTTTTTACAATAACTGAAACTGAATGCTTGGGTATATATGAAAACAAATTTGATAATAGCAGAAAGAAAAACATGCAATATAAATTTTAGCTTAATAATAAGTCTGAAATATTGCATTTTTATTATATAAGGTCATCATCACCAGACATAACAAAGATTACAAAGAAACCTTTAACATAGATAGAAAATATATAACAACGAGATGACAAACAACTGTAAAACGAAAACTACTTCTATAATATAACTAAAAAGTAAATCATTACTGATCAGAACCAAACTTATTTTATAACATAGAAATGACTATAACATTAATTAAGTAAAGTGTAAATATATATATATATAATCATATTAATATGATTTTAATCTCAAGTCTTTGTATTACATTAAAGTAATTAATACATTACCCCCTGATGTTAATCCAGCAGAGTTAATGTCGAGGTGACTAAAAGGATAGATCACATAAATCCTTAATATGTCACTAGTATGCTTTCGGTCAAAATGAAAATACTTCATTATGGAGATAGAGAATGTATCAAAAACAAAACAATAAATGAGACAAAGGTTAAGTATATAATAAAGGTCAAATATTTTAGATTCATTATAAAACTAAAATTTATTTTTCATGTTTTCTTTTTCACATTATTAACTTTCTTACATAAAATCAAGAATTTAATATTATGATTATTGTTTTTTTATCGGATTATTTTGATTTGCAACAATTGATTATATGTTATGATTAGTTAATCATAATTTTCGTTGTGACCCATATATGATTAGTTGTCTGTCTATGGCTATTATATTATCTCGTTTTTGCATGTTTTCTATCTATATTAAAGTTTCCAGCAATGTTTATTATTTCTGATGATAGTGGCCTTATATGATAAAGGTCGAAAAAAATTATGCATGACCAGATGAAAAGTCTGCCATGCCTTGGAAACCTTTTACAACGAATGCAGGATGAAAGACCATGTTATTTAATACCTACTGATGTAATGAATTTTTAATTTTGTTAATGATAGAAACTCTATATGATTCATCGACTTTCATGTCCAAGATAAATGCATATTTAAAAATTACAATGAATGAATTTTCAAAATCATAAATATTTTTTTTCTGTTGAATTCTCGAATTTGATGCGCCTATTTTTTACTTCAAGAAACGCATATAGATGCTTGATTAATTCTCGTTCTCTATTGATAAATTTGTGGATTAAAATGTGATAGAAACAACATGAGTGACACTAGCTCTTGGTCGTGTGATCGCTTTTTTCTCTGCTCCAAAACAAAATAAGGCATTAATTAAGCTTTCTTACAAACTACATTACTATTTACTCTAGAAAATCTTTTTTCTTTTCAAAAAGTTGCAAAAATTATCCACAGATAGAAATTTTTGTCTATGTTTGGTAAAATACCCTTTTTTTCGTTAATTTAAGACTCTTGTTTGATCATGCATGTAAAAATCAATGCTTGCAAAGGAACTTCGATATTAAATATCAAATTCAACATTCAAAACTGAATTGAATGGTATATATTTCGGTAAAAAATATTTTCAAACGAGAAGAAACTCCGGAGGGAAGGATTAAGAATTAATTTTAAAGTATTTAGGAAGATCACAGGAGTCTTCACATTGGAAAACATTTCCACTGAAAAATATATCATCCAATTCCATTTTTTATGCTAAACTCGATTTTCATGTTAAATTTTTTTTT